AGATGCTTACACTCAAACAGGTCATGTCTCAGATCAGGTCCTAGGACTGGTTTGTCACGATAGATCTGAAGGACGCATACTTCCACGTATCCATCCTTCCTCAACACAGGAAGTTCCTGAGGTTTCAGAACTCACGTTTGAATCATCAGTGGCAAATCCTCAGAACAGCCGGCATTGTAGTCTACTCTACCAGGATCAGGAATCAGGAAACTTACCAATATCGGGTTCTTCCTTTCGACCTTGCACTCTCACCCCGCACTTTCACCAAGTGTATGGATGCTGCTCTGGCTCCAGTGCAAATCCGGGGCCTCCGCATACTCAATTATATCGACGATTGGTTGATACTAGCTCAATTGGAGCAGACGGCAGTTCGGCATCGAGATGTCATTCTCGCCCACATGAAAGAGTTGGGGTTAAGACTGAATACCAAGAAAAGTGTGCTTTCTCCATTACAGATGACCACTTATCTGGGTGTGGTGTAGGATTCGACCAGGATGCAGGCACGTCTGTCTCCTGCTCGGATCGAGTCGATCCTCACAGCAGTCACAAGAGTGAGAGAAGGTTAGGTTAGGTTTAAACTGAAGGTAGGATTTCTCACACAGTGAACAATGTCATCGACAACTGGGCCGTGACTGATCTCATCCTCCTGAAGCAGACTAACAATAACCGAATCATCTGCATATTTTATGACGTTTCTATTGTCATAGCTGCTCTGACACATATTTGTGTAAAGAATAAATAATAAAGGTGACAGCACACACCCTTGAGGAGACCCAGTAGAAGAGCTTTTCCAGTCAGACAAAGTACCATTGACCCTCACTCTCTGTGTCCTATTTGTTAGAAAGTGAAGAATCCAACCTAACAGATTATTACTTAACTCAAACTGTTCTTAAAGCATTCTGGTTTAAGAACAGTTATGCGTTGCATCGCGCCGCATAAACATAAAACCATGTCTGCATTTGTGATCGGAGAAATGACAAACAACAAGCGCTACTCTACACTGCTCAAAACTCACGTTTGAATCATCAGTGGCAAATCCTTTAAATATGAAAGGTAGGATTTCTCACACAGTGAACAATGTCATCGACAACTGGGCCGTGACCGATCTCATCCTCCTGAAGCAGACTAACAATAACCGAATCATCTGCATATTTTATGACGTTTCTATTGTCATAGCTGCTCTGACACATATTTGTGTAAAGAATAAATAATAAAGGTGACAGCACACACCCTTGAGGAGACCCAGTAGAAGAGCTTTTCCAGTCAGACAAAGTACCATTGACCCTCACTCTCTGTGTCCTATTTGTTAGAAAGTGAAGAATCCAACCTAACAGATTATTACTTAACTCAAACTGTTCTTAAAGCATTCTGGTTTAAGAACAGTTATGCGTTGCATCGCGCCGCATAAACATAAAACCATGTCTGCATTTGTGATCGGAGAAATGACAAACAACAAGCTTTCACAATGAAACACAGCGTCACACACGGCGGGCTAGAGTGAGGAACGGCCGGTGGCTAGAGAAAGGAGCGACCAGAGGGCTTGCGGCAACCACATGTGATGACCTCGGGCTGGACTCTGCTTCGTCCACGGTGAAAGCCGATCCGGCGATCCACAGCGCGAAGTTAGCCGTTTTAGGTAGGTGTGGCTGACTCTTAACTTTTATAAAGAATATCTCTTTGGATTTGAGACTTCAGTCTTTGCAACTTTACAGATCTTCTTTATGCACCAAGAGCTTGTAACACTCCAGAGAGAAAGGAAAAATTGAAATCGCATCATATGACCCCTTTAATATAGCCTACATATACATTGCATTTCTCAGTCACTAGAGGGCGCCACTATATAATTTATCAATAACTCCCCATTGGCTCCATGACATTAAACAATTTTAGGGTATGTATGTAGTTTTCCTGGGTTTATTAAAATACACATAAAGACACTCACAGCATTATTGTTATAGTCGTGTGATATATGAGAACATTAAAGGTTCTCTAGTGATGCTGGCTGAAAACAGCCACGACAATGTAAACTGCATGAAGATGTAAACTGGAAAACGCCAATACATAGGCTTGTCAATGCAGCACCATAGTAATTTATCATGGTTTTACTTCTCGTGACCACCATCTTACTAATAGGCCTACTAATTATAAGCAAGAACTTCTCTCTTTAGATGTTTAGTTCTAATTAATTTTAATAGAAGTAAAATGTTGATTCAGTAATAAATATCAGTGTCTTATATAAATTAGGTGTGTATTATTTACAAATATTAAAGTTGGGCTGGAACAACCTGGAAGTCATGCAGACTACTTGAAAAATAATCTGTTGACCAATTTTAGAGTGCACTGTATTGATATTACATTATTATATAATTTTTTTTTGGTGGTGGTGGGACAGGGGGTTGGGGGACGACTGGGTAATATTAACCACTTTTTTTTCTTTAGGACTACACCACTGACACTCACCATCTATTGGTGTGATGATGCAACCTGAAAAATCATTGAAAAAGATCCCCACACAACCTGACAGTCTATCTGGAACAAACACAGACAAGGGGAAAGCCGCTGTTGTTTATTTTGTGATTTCATGGACATTATACATTTTATTACAAACACAAGTTTTATATCTTGAGGTCTATTAAATAATTCAACAATAGCATAATAGCATTCGAAGAATCTAATAAAATCCTTCAAGACAAACAGAAAATCCAGTAGAATAGGATAGAAGTTTGTCTTGTCAGCTGGGCGAAGACTTTTCTTTACATCAGTACAGAATTGTAAAAGGGAGCTAGTGAAGTCAGTTTCATTTTACGAATCATTCAAACAGTTTGTTTGACTCAAGTGCCAGCGATGCAGCAGGTTTTAGGTTAGAAATTTTCCTTAAGTGGTGGCTCAATTTTCTGCACATTCACTCTTAAACATATCTCTATTAATGCAACACATACAGGTTTTACAGTATAAAGCATAAAAACATAACACCATTGGCCGTGGATAGAATGTTTGGTGCAGTTTGAGACGAATAACTTTTGGGCCTAAAAATTCAATATTTTGAGTGTTGTTATGAACTGTCTGATTTCCGCCCCGCATAATATCCAGGATGTGACGTCGCAAAGTCTCAATGCCCTCACAAACATGGCCGCGTACAGGAGCGTCGGTGTTGGAAGGAGTTTATCTGCACTTTTAACGAGATCGTGAGTCGTTACTGTGCTGTGCTGCTTTGCGTTTCTGTGTCAGTGAGGGTTTATATGTAACGTCCGTCAGGTGCTTAGAGTTGCGTGAAGCATTTGCGTTACAAAGAGTTTCGTAATATTCAGAGTCACTGACAAGGTCTGATGACGCAGATGCAGACAAACAATATCACGAATATTCATAAGTTAATGCACAGTTTTATACACTGTTTTATACACTTTTGAACATATTTTGTTCATTTTCTAGACTGGCCTCTGGCAAAGTTAATGCAAAAGTTGCTTATTTCAAACCTCCCGTTACAAAAATCTCCTTTAAATTATAGCTGAAACCTTAAAAACCACAATAATAACGGAATGTTTGTCAAGCATGAAACCTTGCTGTAATGCCAACATACCTACGTTTTATTTGACTAAGTAGTAGTAATTTATCAGAAACTGTCTACCAATAATTATAATAATATATTATAATTTAGAATCTAAGAACAATACGCTATATTAATATAATATTATTAGAAAGTATTATTATGTTAGTGAATATAACAATACTTTTTGTAAAGGCACTTCTTCTATATGTTATTGTAGGTCTTAGTAGGACATATCAGAAAAATGCCCTATTATGAAAATCTGTACAGTTGCTTTTGAATGCATTATAATTCGCTGTGCTCAAAGGTATCCTGTGTGCAGTTACCATGGGACAGGGCTCACCAGACCACCCCTTCACAAAGTGGCCAGAAGTCCCATTCCACAGCAAACAGCCGCTATGTTTAGTAAGTGTTAGCATGATTCAGGTCGCATGCTACTGTAAAATGTTTGGTTGGAATGGATCGTAACATTTCTTTCATCTCATCAGTCAGAAACATGTTTATTCAGACCCAAGACACTCCGAACCCAAACAGCCTGAAGTTTCTTCCTGGGCATATGGTGCTGGAAGCAGGGACTATGGACTTCGCTGGACCTAGAGATGCTTATTGTTCACCCTTGGCAAGGTAGAGTTTGTATTTCAGCCAGAGTACACACTTTTTGCACTATTTTATTTTCCGATTAATATTGTTAATTCATTATCAGTTATAATTCATATTAAGATCTACAGGAGAAGTTCTTTTTTTTAACAGTAAGAAATCTAGAGTCAATTTAAGTGATTTCTGCACCAGTAGTGACCCCAGACACATTTCTCATGGTGATTGTCTGTTCAAAAGTCACTGCACACTATCATAGGTGTTCATGGTTGTTGTTTATGGATCCAAATCCTAAGAACCTGTTCATAACTCTTTATCATATTCTGGTCAGATTGGCTCTAACCTAGCTGACAGGAAACATAATCAACCATTTTTACTTCATAATTTTAATGGCACCACAAATGTTATTTTCTTGATGAGGTTAATCTGAAATTCTGAATCTATATTTGCATCATAAAAATAGTGCAGTTATGCTTGTCACACGGGGCTGTAATAAACCATTTTTTTTAGTTGCAGGGGTTGTTTTGTTTGTAACCATTCCAGATATGTGTAAAATATGTAAATATTTTTAAGATGAAATATATATACACTACCGGTCAAAAGTTTGGGATCAGTAAGACTTGTAATGTTTTTTTAAAGAAGTCTCTTCTGCTCATCAAGACTGCATTTATTTGATCAAAAATACAGAAAAAAAAAACACTAATCTTGCAAAATGTTATTACAATATAAAATAATGGTTTCTATTTTAATATCTTTTAAATTTAATTTATTTCTGTGATCAAAGCTGTATTTTCAGCATCATTACTCCAGTATAAAGTGTCACATGATCCTTCAGAAATTATTCTAATATGCTGATTTATTATTAGAATTATCAGGGTTGGCAACAGTTGTGCTGCCAAATATTTTTTTGGAAACTGCGATACTTTTTCAGGATTCTTTGATGAAAAAAAAAGTTAAAAAGAACAGCATTTATTCAAAATATAAATATTTTCTAACAATATAAATCTTTGCTATCACTTCTTATCAATTTAACACATCCTTGCTGAATAAAAGTTTTAATTTCTTTCAAAAAAAGAAAGAATAAAAATTTACTGACCCCAAACTTTTGAACTGCAGTGTATAATGTAAGAAAAGATTTATATTTTGAATAAATGCTCTTCTTTTAATCATTTATTCATCAAAGAATCCTGAAAAAAGTATCACCGGTCCAAAAAAAATATTAAGCAGTTTCCAGCACTGATAATAAATCAGCATATTATACTGATTTCTGAAGGATCATGTGACACTGAAGACTGGAGTAATGATGCTGAAAATTCAGCTTTGATCACAGAAATAAATTGCATTTTAAGGTATATTAAAATAGAAAAATGTTATTTTACATCATAATAATATTTCACAATATTACTTTTTTCCTGTATGTTTTATCAAATAAATGCAGTCTTGATGAGCAGAAGAAACTCCTGTAAAAAACATTTAAAATTGTTCTGATCCCAAACTTTTGGTAGTGTAAATAAAATGTATAAACCTTTTTTAAATGTTTATTTTATGTTTAAATATATAACATATTTTCTTAACTTTCTTCACCTTGCTTTCTCTCATTTAAAAAACAAATAAATAAATAAAAAACATATATGTCCCAGGACCATAGGACAATATTTGGCCGAGATACAACTATTTGAAAATCTGGAATCTGAGGGTGCAAAAAAAATAAAAATATTGAGAAAATCATCTTTAAAGTTGTCCAAATGAAGTTCTTAGCAATGCATATTACTAATCAAAAATTAAGCTTTGATATATTTACTGTAGGAAATGTACAAAATATCTTCATGGAACATGATCTTTACTTAATATCCTAATGATTTTTGGCATAAAAGAAAAATTTATCATTTTGACCCATACAATGTATTGTTGGCTATTGCTACAAATATAGCCCAGCGACTTAAGACTGGTTTGTGGTACAGGGTCACATGTTTGCCTGAAGTATTCAGATCTATAAAATTAAATAGATTTAAATAGCTTAAATAGCTCCCCCTTAATAGACAAATATGATAGTTCTGAAGAAAATTGTAAAAAAAATAATAATACTATTATCATTAGTGGACATGAAATGTATCCTAAATTGTAGAATGGCTCAGGAGCAGGAGTAATATTGATGCTTGACTAAGCAAACACCATCATGATGGATATCTGTTTTCTCAGGAAGCCAATTTCAGTGATATCTGTCAGGCGGTTGGGATTGTTTTATGTGTGGTATTCTAAAAAAAAAAAAAAAATGCATATAACAGCTCTAAATCCAGACATGCATTTGTGAGAATGTTCCAGTGATGGTACTGTTTTCATTCTTCAGGCAGTTGTTCAGAATAGATGGAGTCAAGAGTGTCTTCTTCGGTCCCGACTTCATAACCATTACTAAGGTAAAGAACCGGCATTTTTTAACAGGATTTGAATGTAACTTCATTTTTTTTTAAGAATTGTATTTCTTTATCCTTCAGGCTGATGGTCAAACAGAGTGGAGAGTGATCAAACCGGACGTCTTTGCCACCATTATGGACTTCTTCACCTCTGGACTTCCTGTTGTCAACGAGGCAGATGCTCCACGTGCCGACACAGGTTAAACATTACCTTGCCTTCTTTACTTCTCATCTTAACATCCTCACTAAATCCAAGATCATTAAATATGTTGTGCATGCCCTACGTCTGCAGCTTCTTCTGAGGATGACGATGAGGTGGTGGCCATGATTAAAGAACTGCTGGACACACGCATAAGGTACCACAGTAAATTACTCTACTTACGTTTAATGCAGCCTTCAAATTAACTTTTTTTTAATTTTATATGGCATACAAATTTAGTAGGTCATATATGTTCTCATATCTCAAAAAGTGAGCATCCCAAATGAAGCACAACAACAGAAATGATTGATTTGTGACACTCTACACAAACAGCAACTTGCATTAAGCATAAATATATACATAGTAGCACATACAAATATTGGGTAAATGGTCCGTTTTTAACTATTTGAATATTGAACTGAATCTGAACCACGTAAATGATTGATTTGTGATGCTCAGCACGCATCATGATCATGTTGACTCGGCATTTGTCAGGTCTTGGATTGTCTGAGGAGTGACATAATGCCATCTGGTGACTGACGCTGTTGGACTGCATCTGTCGGTGCAGTGTGAAGTCCTAATCATAATCTTGATTATTTCTTCTTAATTCAACAGCTTCCTTTCTCTATTTACATGTGTACTACAGGCCCACAGTGCAGGAGGATGGTGGTGACGTGTTGTATCGGGGTTTCGAGGATGGTATTGTAAAGCTGAAGCTGCAGGGTTCCTGCACCAGCTGTCCCAGCTCCATCATCACGCTGAAGAGCGGCATCCAGAACATGCTGCAGTTCTACGTTCCCGAGGTGGAAGGAGTCGAGCAGGTGAGCATAGTCTGCTCAGAAATGAGAGTGAGCAATGATGACACGATTCTCAAGTTGTTCCCAACCTGTATGACTTTCTTTCTTCTGTGGAACATGAAAGAAGGTATTTTGAAGAACGTGGGTAACCAAAGAGATTTGGATCTCATAGACTTCCATTGTACTTTTTGGCCATACAATGGATGTCAATAGGAACCAAAGCTGGTTGGTAACCAACATTCTTCAAAATATAATTTCACGTTTCACAGAAGAAAGTAGGGATGCACCGATACTGCGCTCCTGTACTCGTACTCGTAAAAATGCCCCGATACCAAAAGCCGATACCACACACACCGTGTGAACAGAGCTGTGTCCAGAAAAAGAAACACTGACAACAGAACAACAGAGAGTAGAATGGAGTTATTAGAGATTAAGGATGTCTATGAATTACATGTAAGTAATTGATATAATGTTAAACATTCAATATTCACGCCTGTATAGCGGATGTGCGTGAGCTGATAAGCAGAGTGGATTGAGCGCACGGCTGCACGGATGCGCGAGCTTGTCGAGTGAATATCTCACAGACATCACTGGAAAGTTTGTAGTTCGGTGGTAGCGCGAGTAGTTCTCCCTCGCGAGAGGGAGAGAGAAAGAGAGCGCGCACCTCTGTGCCGCTTCAAAAGTGAAACTAGCAGACTGTGTGAAATGCGCTAGGGCTATTAAGTGTCTCTCTCATTCTGCACCAATGCAAACGTGCGCGTGCAGCGCATGTTTAGCTTGCTTTAGAATTATGGTTTTTATTCGTACGCGAGGGTCCGTGTACAGTGTGCGTGACGCAAATTACATCACCAAAATAGTACGTGCGTACTCGTATAACGAGTGGTTCCCTGCATTATTTTAGGAAAATGTTTTGTGATTACAGTATTGAGCTGCTGCAATGGAGCAGCTCTAATGTGCCATTAAAATGAACAGTGAAAGTAACAAAAGCTTATACAATACATTTTAACAGGTATAATTAAGTGTGGAAATAACTGAAGGAAATATCTGTTTGCTAAATGAAGCCAACTAACATGATTGTTCTTCTTCTTCTTCTTCTTATTATTATTATTTTGTCTCTGTACCCAATATTTCAAAAAAATGACAAATGCTGCGAAAATACAGGTATCGGTATCGGCGAGTACCAAAAATGAAAGTATCGGTATCGGATTCGTTCTGAAAAAAGTGGTATCGGTGCATCCCTAGAAGAAAGTCATGCAAGTTTGGAATGACATGAAGGCGAGTAAATGACAGAATTCTAGTTTTTGGGATATTAATTTTATTACAATGCTGTCCCTCTATGGTTTTGTGAGAAGATGCACTCAGCAGTAAGTTATAAAGTGTTTCTGTGCTAATATTCTGTGCCTTTAATCTTGCAGGTGAAGGAAGAGGATGTGGATGTCCTTTCTTCATAATAAATTACCCAGCACCCCTCTTTCCCATCAACGTCCAGTCATGTAGAAGGAGTCTTGAGTTTAGTAGAGACTACTCAGTTACACAGCTGTAAGGAAAATGGACAAAACGGTGTGTCCTCACACTCCTTTAAACATATATTGGCTACAGACATTGATATTAAGACATCAGGTGTGCAGGAAATGTTTTTAGCCTGCACTTTTGCGTAGACAATGTTTGGTTGGTCATCCATAATATTTTATAGATTATCACTCGTTGCACTGATTAAAACAAAAAGCAGAATTTCATGTATGTGTGAATAAGCTGCAATATGCATTTTCCCAGATGCATGTAAATATTTTCTTTAGAAATCTCCTGGTTTCATGTTTAATGGATTTTCAGGAATCTTGATTGTATCAGAGCAAAGCATCTGCTAAATGAATAAATATAACTGAATTATATTAAAAGGACTTCAAATATGTTGAAAGACGTTTTGATTAGTGGCTATTCAAGAAAGACGTTTTGATTACTGGCTACTCAAAATGGCCCTTTAATTATTCAAAATATATATTTTTTTTATTTACAGAAGAAAATGTTACATGTAGAAGTTATTTGGTCTGTGGCTAGCCTCTTCTAAAGGATCAAATGCATAAATATTAATAATAAAAAACAAAACAGGAAATATGAATGATAAATGTTTAAAAATGTTACAGTTCTGGTTTTGGCTTCTGATTGGTCAATACAGTGTTCCAGTGACTATAATGTGAACAGCTGTTCACCAAATCACTGCATAGCTCCCATAGGGGATTATTGATTTTGTTGCATAGGAACATTTTGATAAGTTAGAAACTATATCCTCTAGAGGAGGGATAACACTTAATAAGTTTGCTTATTAAAAGAATACTCGAACAGAAATGTGTGTTCTTGATCTTATTTAGCAATTGTTTTATACTTGTCTTTATTTTATTTGTAGCATACTTTTATCTAGGTGTCATATTCATTGTGTGGCTCACAAGCGGGATTGGACGAGCCATTGTCCACATTTTGTTTTCTTTCTTAACACCATAATGCATTCTGAAGAAGACAGGAATCATCTTATACAACTCCATCTAACGAGAGAACAACTTAAGCGTTAATAATCCAAAAAAACTCCAGAGACAATGTTCTTTTTCAGACTCACAAACCTGAGTTTCTTCTCACTCATATCAATTGTACACAATATTGAAAGCATCCTCACCTTCTCAATCAGTGAGAAAACAGCAATAAAAATTATGCGACATAATAACATGACTCGAGCATTACTGCCGGATCGAGTGAGATCAGGGCTGCGTTCAGCCCCAACAAAAATGGTGCAAAAGGTTTTTTAAACAGAAACGGTGGTGTGTTGAACACCCTGTTCTGATGACGCAAGAGTTGCAACTATGAACGCCACTTCCATCCATTCTGCTTGCTAATGTCCGCTCCGTGGAGAATAAATTGGACTATCTGAAGCTGGACCTAACTACTAAACGGGAGATGAGAGACTGCTGTGCCATAATTCTGACGGAAACATGGCTAAACCCTTCCGTTTCGGATGACGCCGTGAGTATCGAGGGCCTAACAATATTCAGGTCAGACAGGAGCTGTGTTCTCAGTGGAAAATCAAGGGGTGGCGGTGTGTGTATTTACACAAACAACAGCTGGTGTAACAATGCTGCAGTGGTCTCAAGTCATTGTTCTCTGGATGTAGAGTTTTTGTCTATTAAATGCAGACCTTTTTACCTGCCTAGGGAATTTACAACTATCATCATCACAGCAGTGTATATCCCACCTAGTGCAAATACTAAGGAGGCCCTGAATGTGCTCTACCGTTCCATCAGTGATCTGCAAGACTCACATCCAGAGGGTGTTTTTATTGTAGCAGGGGACTTTAACCAGGCTAACATGGGGACAGTTCTCCCTCATTTCCATCAGTATGTGGATTTTGCCACCAGGGCTATAAATAGAATGGATTTAGCCTATACTAACATCAAGAAGGCTTTTAAGGCAGTCCCCCGCCCTCACATCGGCTCCTCTAACCATCTTTCTGTGATGTTAATTCCTGCATACAGGCCTATGCTTATTAGGAAAAAAACAACCGTGAAGCAGGTGAGGGTCTGGCCTGAGGGCGCCATGTCAGCATTGCAGGATTGTTTTGACCATTCTGACTGGGAGATGTTCAAGGAGGCTGCAACTGTTAATCAGCATATTAATGTGGAGGAGTATGCTGCGTCTGTGTCTGCATATATTCAGAAGTGCACGGAGGATGTAGGTGTCACCAAGAACATAATTATAAGAGCAAATCAGAAGCCCTGGATGACTGGCGAGGTACGTGCAATGCTAAAGGCACGAAATGCTGCGTTTAAAGCTGGTGATATGGTCATGCTCAGAACAGCAAGAGCCAACTTGAATCAGGGCATTAGGGCTGCAAAACGGGCCTATAGCCAGAAAATACAGGGTTTCTTCTCTGATCCTACAAATACTAAGCGCATGTGGCAGGGCATAAAGACTGTCACAGACTACAAGGCTGCTCCACTACCCTGCGAAGACAATATATATTTTCTTAATGAACTTAATACATATTTTGGACGGTTTGAGGCACTGAATAACTCTCTTGCAAGGAAAAGTGTTCCTCATTTAGATGAGGAGGTACTCAGTCTTAATGCAGCTGATGTCCGGAGGACCCTGAAAAAAGTCAACGCCCAGAAGGCAGCGGGTCCTGATAATATTCCAGGACGGGTGCTGAAAGAATGCGCTGACCAGCTGGCTCCTGTCCTTACAGACATTTTT